AACCCACGGAAAATGTAGTTCATCAGGACGAAATAGACTAATAGCTTCATCATTCGAATCTATTGTTGTACCTATTAATATTATTTAGATTAGAAAGCTTGCTTAATAATGAATTTAATCCATCTATGTTGTAATTACCTGCAAAATATTGACTATTTTTCAGTGCTTTTATATATTCGTCACTCATATGTTTTTGTACATCGATTAGATAATGCAACAAATGTTAGAAAGTGTTCTTTGATGGAACGTGATACATGTGACTGAGACTTTTGATAGGCGATGAATGAAGGTACATGAATCGTTCGACATCCAAGGAATCGAAGAAATTTATCTAAAATGCGATCGTCTGATTGATCGTTTGATTTTGGCTTTTGTTTATCACCAAGTTGTATTTTATTTTCATTGATTTCCTGTACAACATTCATTGTAATTATAGGCAAATCAGGTAGTAACATTGGTGAACGAATAAATGACTCTCTAGGTAATTTCATTCCTTGTTGAGTTATCATACATGAAAGTTTTGATAGGATTCCTTTCATTTGATCTTTGGTCGATGTTTGAATTCGAATCCAATATTTTGAAATAAGATTGAATAGACAAATAATCTTGTTTTCATCATCTAGAAGATATTTTTGTTTATCGTGAAAATAAAAATTTAACAAATCATCTAGTGGAAATGGTGTTAACCATAGATGCTTATTAAGATCATCGGTTGAAATTTGCATGGCTATTGTAGCTGGTAGATAGTGTACTACGTGATCAAGAATATCACGATCACGAACACGATCACGATCCCGATAATGCGTAATCGTGCGTGATTAGGAATATTTTTTATGGTCGTGATCGTGATCGTGAGTGATAGATGCTTTTTCCTCGTGATCGGGGCGTGATCGTGATTGCAAAAAAAAGATCGTGATTGTGACCGTGATCGAAATCAAAATATGGTAATCATGATTATTAAATATATTACCAAAATATGAAATACTTATTCACAAATATAATGCTTCTAATTACATAAAAAAGCTGACAATTTACATGCTTAAGAAATCATTCAAGTATTATGCCATCAAGTGGAGATAGGTAGGGTTAGCTAAAAGTTGGCATCAAGCCAATTGTTTCTTGATTTTGTCAGGGAAATTGATGACATGGGAGAGGGGTCTAAAATTAGCAAAAGCTTGATGACGTAATATTTGCACAGTCACTTAACAAAGAAAGCAAATATAGAAGTTGAGTGATACCTATTTATATAAAAACAAAACTATGAAAAAGTGAAAAA